CTCCGGAAGAAGGAGCAGCGGCAGCGGCGACAGCAGCGGCGCAAGGAGAAGCGCGCTGCGGCAATGCTCCTCGCCCCAAAATCTTCGGCTGTAGTTATCACACTACAGCCGGACGCGGCGAAAAAGGGGGTGACGTATGGCGAGGTACTCGCCAAATTAAAGGGGGCGGTAACTCCCGCGGAGTTTGGGGCACCCGACGGGTTCGCAGTGAGGGTCACTGCCACTGGAGCCCGTCTCTTGGAGGTCCCCGGCGCGGCCAGCGGCCCGTCCGCTGACGCCCTTGCCGAGAGGCTCAGGGCGTGCATTGCGGCGGACGAAGCTCGCGTGTCCAGGCCCACCAAATGCCTGGAGCTACGCATCATGGGCCTGGACGACTCCGTGACGGAGAATGAGGTGGCGGCCGCTGTCGCCAGGACGGGGGGGTGCCCTGCTGACCAGGTCAAGGCAGGCACTATCCGCCCGGACAATACGGGGCTGCGGACTGTGGTAGTCAGCTGCCCCGTCACAGCGGCCAAAAAGCTGGCAGAGGGCAAAAGGCTCCTGGTGGGCTGGGTTTCGGCGCAGGTGAAGCTGCTGGAACCCCGACCTTTGAGGTGCTTCCGCTGCCTCATTGGCCATCATGTGGGTGCCAAATGCACCTCAGAGGTGGACCGCAGCGACCGCTGCTTCCGCTGCGGTCAGCCCGGTCACAGGGCCGGCGCTTGTACCGCCCCGCCGCACTGCGTAGTATGTGCGGCGGCTGGCAAGCCGGCCGATCACCGGGCTGGGGGCAAAACCTGCTCCCCCCCCACCAAGCCCAGGAGCAAAGGTAGGCCCTTAGCCACCTCCACCGCTCCCACCGTCGCTCCCGCTGCCGCCGCAGTCGCCAACACCCCTGCGACTGCTGCTGTCGCCGCTGCCGTCAGAGAGGAGGTCGTGATGGATACCCAATAATGGCTCCATTACGCCTCCTCCAGGCGAACATCAACCACTGCGTCGCTGCTCAGGATCTCCTGCTCCAGAGCATGGCGCAGTGGTCGATCAATGTTGCTGTGGTCTCCGAGCCGTACTTCGTTCCAGCCAGGGAACACTGGGTGTCAGACCTGGACGGCTCGGTGACCATCATCTCGTCGGCCGCCGCCGGTACCCCAACCCCCGAAGGGCCTCAGCGAGGCAGGGGTTGCGTCGCGGCTCGGTTCGGAGAGATCGCCGTGGTGGGCGTGTACTTCTCTCCGAACCGAACTCTCGTCGAGTTCCACAACTCCCTCAGGGAGTTAGTCACCGTCGTCGTCGGGTTCCGTCCCCTCCCCGTGTTGGTCCTCGGGGACTTCAATGCCAAGAATTTGGCTTGGGGTTCCCGGCTCACTGATGTCCGGGGAAGGATGGTCGAAGACTGGGCTCTGGAGACAGGCCTAGTCGTGCTGAACCGGGGTTCTGTCCCCACGTGCGTACGGATGCGGGGCGAGTCAGTGGTGGACATTTCGTTTGCTAGCCCCGCTCTGTCATCGCGCGTTGTTGACTGGCGCGTCATGGAGGAGGTGGAGACGTTTTCGGACCACCGGTATATACGGTTCGACGTCTCCGCCGAGTCCGCAGACCCGCCAGTCAGACAGGCCCCGTGTGGCCCGCGTTGGGCGCTTAGGCAACTGGACCGGGAGCTTTTCCTGGAAGCCGCAGTCGTGCAGGCCTGGGTGATACCACCGGTCAGGCCAGCCGACATTAACGAGGAGGCGAGATGGCTCCAGGACGCCATGTCAAAGATGTGCGACGTGGCGATGCCCCGGATCCGACCGTGCCAACGCAAGCGCCAGGTGTATTGGTGGTCGCAGGAATTGGCAGACCTGCGCGGTGAGTGCACCGCAGCGCGACGCCGATACACCAGGCACCGCAGGCTCCGTCTCCGCCCTCTGGACGCTGAAACCAGAGAGGCGGAGCTATACGAGGAGTACAGGGCGGCGAAGGCCACCCTCAGGGTGGAGATCCGGCGGGCCAAAGATCGGGCCCGCGAGGAGATGTTGGAGACTCTGAACAGAGACCCGTGGGGACGCCCCTATCGGATGGTGCGTGATAAGCTCCGCACCTGGGCGCCCCCACTGACTCAGAGTCTCCGGCCGGAGGTCGTGGACGAAGTGGTTGGGGCGCTATTCCCCCGACCACAGATGGGTTACACGCCTCCGGCTATGCCCCCGCCCCCTGCGGTGCCCAATGCGGGCTACATCGACGACGACGACGAATCCGCTCCGGAAGTGACCGAGGTAGATTTGAGAGTGGCGGTGCGCCGGCTGAGCGGCAAGAATACCGCCCCAGGACCTGACGGGCTGCATGCCAAGGTCTGGGTCCTGGCCTCGGAGGCTCTCAGGCCTCGACTACTTGGTCTGTTCAGCGCATGTTTGGAGAGAGGCCAGTTTCCGCTGTCGTGGAAGACGGGTAAACTGGTCCTCGTGAAGAAGCCGGGGCGTCCTGCGGACCTCCGTCCGCGTACCGGCCCATTGTGCTGCTCGACGAGGTGGGAAAGCTGTTCGAGAGGATAATCTCAGACCGCCTCGTCGGGCACCTGTCTGGAAGGGGGCCGGATTTAGCGGACGGCCAGTTCGGCTTCCGCAGAGGGCGCTCCACGGTGGACGCCATCATGCGCGTGAGGGACCTCACGACGGGGACAGCGTTGGCCGGGAGGCGAGTCGTCGTGGCGGTGTCTCTGGACATCGCCAACGCCTTTAACTCGCTGCCCTGGAGCTGCATTTTGGAGGCACTCCGGTATCACCGGGTGCCTGCCTATCTCCGTCGTGTAGTCGAGGCTTACTTGACGGACAGATGTGTCATCTACCCCGGTCACCGGGGCGTGTGGAATCGGCGAGAGGTGTCGCGCGGTGTCCCACAGGGATCGGTCCTGGGACCTCTCCTGTGGAACATCGGGTACGATTGGGTGCTACGCACCGACCTCCCGAGCGGCGTCAGCATTGTCTGCTATGCTGACGACACGCTGGTGCTGGCGAACGGGAGGTCGCATCAGGCGGCGGCCGACCTGATGTCACAAGCGGTTGCGACAGTCGTTGCAAGGATCCGGCAGTTGGGACTCGAGGTGGCGCTCCACAAGTCCGAGGCCATGTGCTTCTATGGCCGTCGGAGCGCGCCACCTCCAGGTGGGTCCCAAGTAACGGCAGGAGGAGTTACCATCGGCGTCGAGTCGGCGATGAAGTACCTGGGTCTCGTCCTCGACAGCCGATGGAACTTCACGGAGCATTTTCGTCGTTTGGCCCCTAAGTTGGAACGGTCTGGGGCCGCGCTCAAGCGGCTCCTTCCCAACCTCGGGGGGCCAAACGCCTCCTGCCGGAGGTTGTATATGGGGATTGTGCGATCCATGGCCCTCTACGGTGCCCCTGTGTGGGCGCCGGACTTGAAGCGGCGGCCGGCTCGTACGCTGGTCGCGTCCCAGAGGGTCATGGCTATACGAGTAATCCGCGGGTATCGCACGATCTCCGGGGAGGCGGCGAACCTCCTTGCCGGATCACCGCCGTGGGATCTAGAAGCGAAGGCGCTCGCGCGCGTCTACAGTTTGCGCGCAGACGCGCGTCGCCGGGGCGAAGATCCTCTGCCGCGCCAAATAAGTGCGTGGCGGAATGAGCTCCGGCGAGATCTCATGGCAGAGTGGAGACAACGACTGTCGCAACCGAGGGCCGGGCACGCTACCATAGCAGCGGTAAGACCCCTCTTTGAGGAGTGGCTTGAGAGACGCCACGGCGTCCTCACCTTCCGTCTGACGCAGGTGCTTACCGGGCACGGCAGCTTCGGTAGGTTCCTGTTTCGGATTCAGCGGGAGGAAACGCCCGAGTGTCGTCATTGTGAGGACCACCTAGAGGATACGGTGGAGCATACGGTAGCGGTATGCCCTGCCTGGGCTGAGCACCGCCGTATCCTCAGGGAAGTGATCGGCGGCGGCGACCTCTCGCGCCCGGCCTTAGTCGAGGCCATGGTGCGGAGTGAGAGGAACTGGGACGCCGTCTCCTCCTTTTGTGAAGCAGTCATGCTCGCAAAGAGAGAGGCGGCCCGCGTGAGGGAGCAATCCTCCTCCTCACGCCCCAGCAGCCGCAACTGGCGACACTACGGGCGTCGGGGATCGAGGGACGATCTCCGGCCACCGTAAGTACGGGCCTGCGGTCGGCGAGTAAGGGCAGCTCGCCGCCCGACCAGAACCAGGCCCGAGCGTACGGCGCGTAGCGTTCCGCGCGCGCCTCAAAGAGCCAATAGACCACCACAGACGGGGCCCTAAAGGGCTGATGTTCAGCCGGGGTTGCGGGGTAAGCGCAATAAGGTACCGCGACCTCGGCACAGAGCAGGAGAAGGAACAGGGGGGTTTTTAGTCAGTAAGAGTCTGACACTCCCTCCTGCCCGGCCCTGGGCGGGAGAAGTCATTTGATGATTTTCCCCTCACAAAAAAAAAAAAAAAAAAAAAAAACCCTCCTTTTACTTTACCGTCGTCTGATAAAAAACGACTTCGATTTCTCTTATTGACACTATTGTATGAACGCAAAATGAAATATTCTTTATTCCAAATAATTTATTTTATAGACAATAGCTAATTGGATCCATATGTCCCGGTTCATTGAACTTTAAGATCCTGGTGAACCCTTGCCTAAAACAATAGACATCCACTTATATATCCACCATATTATAATAGTAGACAGGGGATCATTTCAAATCACAATAGAAATGAAACGAGAGGAAATATTATATAATAGTTTAACATATGTATTGTATGTTATTCAGTTCGAAACACGAGAACTATTGAACCAATTTTATTGTGATATTTCAATATATAGAATTTATAACAAAAATAATAAGAAAGAAAGAATAAGATGACGATCATGAATGAATGAATGTAGGTATCAAAGTCTCGAGTCAGTCTTTAAAAAGCCAAAGTAGAAATCAAACATTATTTTTTTATGTAGATCGATAAGTATTATTTCAAAATCATTTAATTATCCTCCCAAATCTAAGGGATTAAACAAATTATTTTGTTTCAGGTGTAAACGTGGCTGCAAAACTACGCAACCTTCCCGGGAATATGAGGATACTGGCAGAGAAGTTAATAAATGATGTGCTGTACCAAGCTCAAACAAACGGACTGACAAATGCCACGTTTATAAGCACACCCGATCCTTTTAAAGTGTAATTGTGTCATTGTAGAAGTTAGGTAATAATTTTATGCTATAAATAAAATATTTTTCGCTAAAACTTCTGAGTTGTTGTCAGTCTACACTGCTCGTATAAAGGGATTGCTGAGATTTTTAATAAGCTTTTAATTTAAATTTAAAACTTTTATTTAACATTTTATTATTATTTATATACCTAGTCTAGCCATAAATACAAAAAAAATACAAATAAAAAATATTTTCTATAGCAAATAACATTTATTACTTTTACAGTAATGCAGATTAAGATGCTCTAATTACTAGTAACTAGTAGATAGTATGTGTTGCATTCGTCCGTGCGTCACTGCAGGGGTGCCAACTGAAAATCAGTGTTGGGTGCTCCGTGCCCAGCTTTTGCTGAGTTGGCGACCCATTCGGATTGGGCATGTCCGCCAACCCAGGGTTGTATTAATGTATTTTGTTAGGCTGTTTTCACGTTATTGTTTTGATTAATTTTATTTATTTTTATTTTATTTTGTTGTCCTGTTACTTCAAACTTTTATTGTTTTGTTTTTTTTTTATTGTTGTATTTTTTTTGTTTGTTCTTGGCCTTCATGTCTCGGTCCGAATAAAAACAGTTTTCTTTCTTTCTTTCTTTCTTTCAGTATGTAAGTTTAATACATAAATATAAAATAATTTAAAACATAAAAAGCTTATTCGAAGTGGTCTCCATTGGCTGCAATACAGTCCTTTAAACGTTGAGGCCAGTTATCAATAGAAGCACGCACTCTTTATACTAGCGGATCCTCCCCGAAAACCTCCACATACCGAATTTCCGCAAAATCGTTAGGGCCCTTTCCGAGATCACATGCTTTCTCAAGCAATCAGCTCCATCTGCCGAGCTGATTTGTGAATATAAACCATCCTGGTCGCTACCCTAAGGTCAATAATAATCGGTCAAGCCGTTTAGGAGGAGTTCAATAACATACACACGTACAGTATTAAGATATTGTGCGACAGCCAAGTGCGAGTCGCGCTCGTGCACGGCCGGTTCCGCAACAAAATTACCTTTTTGGTATGAGATTATAATGTAAATAGCGGCCCGCCCAAGCTTCGTATGGGTGCAATCCTGATATTATTCTTTTCCACTTTTCAATGAATTTTATAATAAATAATAAACCTTCCTCTTTAATTACTCTACCTATAAAAACACCGCAGCAAAATCTGTTGCGCACTTTCACAGATTTAAGCGTACGTACGGATATAGGGACAGAAAATACGACTTTGTTTTATACTATATAGTAATTGCAAATCGAAGCCTAATATCTTTTATTTTAAGCATAAAAACTAAAATATAAATCATTGTTTTATAGTCGTGGATTCTAATAAATTGCAAAGCAAATGGCTTTTTCATGTGCCATAAATGACATAAAAAGTGCTATTGTGTCAAATATAGTGGAACTGGAAATCATTGACATCAATTTGATAGCGCAATGAAAAAAGGTTTTTACAATGTGATAAGGAACTATTTGGTAATACGGTGTTTATTTATTGAAGATCTAAATGTCATAGCATAAGGTGTCGTCCTGAGTGGAAGCGATCGTACGATGGCGCGATGCGTTCTCGTCGTGCGATGATTTCAAATAAGTGAATTCAAACCTATTTGAACCTCGCAAGTGATCGTGCGAGCACATGAAATGCTTAAGAATGATCACCATCCATCACTTTGTGAATACATAATATATTATGGTGGTCACTTTATTAATACAATTGCTACGTATTCCATTGCAGATGTAGTCAAATGTTTCTTTTATAATGGACAAATAATTGTAAAAGTGTTCTTCGTATTTTCGTACAGCAAAATAAAGATGGAAAAATTCACCGCTCAGATTCATGGATCTATAAAGTATTTCACGTTGTCTAAATTTCCTTTTTTCATTGTGATTTGCAATTTTTAAAGCAATATTGCCCAAAAACAAAAACTTTGCATCTCAGTTAAATTGGCGCCATCCATAGTGCGACGGACATCGCGCGATCTATTGGGACACCTGTTAGGTCATCGTACGACCACTTTGATCGTGCGACGAAAAACACATCGAGCCATCGTACGATCTCTCTTAATTACGACACCTCTTAATGGTTTGAAAGCAGAATTATTTGTCGAAGAAAACGAAAAGGTTTACCAAAAATACGTGTTGTTTTTTTAAATGCGAGAGAGTGAAGGTTTGGCGCTTATAGTGGGCTCGATTGCATAAATACCACGAAACGACCTTATAGAAATTCTGTCTTTCTGAGGTTATTGGAAACCTAATAAACCCCCAAATGCTCAATCTTTAAATTCTCGGTGAGATTGCTGGAAGCCTAATCTTTAACCCCAAATCTCCAATCTTCAAATCTGTCTCAGTGAGGTAACCGAGGGCCTAATCCTTAACTCCAAATCTCCAATTCTGTATCAGTGAGGTTACAGGATGCCTAATCCTTAACCCCAAATCCCCAATCTACAAATGCTTACTTCTCAAATTATTGATTTCATTATAGGTGTCATTACGTGCCTTATTGCCGTGGATTAGAGCCACTTTATGAAGAAGTGTGTTGAAAAAAACTTTTGGGAGAATTTAAAATCAAAACACATACACCAGGCCATTAGAGAAGTTTAGAGCTTACAGATTAGGATTGTAATCTTTAGATTCTTAAGTTCAGAGTCTAAAATCAAACACACAGCCACTGAACAGACGAAATACAACGGACCCAAACTATTAACATTTCGCGACTCCTTTTCTAACCGAACTGTAGGACATTTGGCTTCTATTTTCAAATAAACGAAACGATTCCGATTCCGTATTCGTATTCGTACCAAAGATATAAACATCGTTCCGTACCCTAAATATGTATAAAGTGTGAAAATAAAGAGAAAACCCGAACAATTGTTCTGTCTCCTGTCTCAAATTTCCCTGAATATTGTTTTTGTTTGGCATCTACGTGACAGGAATACCTAAGTAATTAAATATATAGGTATTTGTAATGTGGTTTCGTTTTAGCAATAATTTCGTGAATATCGATGATTATACATATAGTAGGTAGGTACAACAATGGTCTGCAAAAAAATGGTAAGGTCGAATTTTCTATACCTAATTCAAAACATTGTTGAATAATTGACATAACATTAAGAATCACGTGACACGCGATTCCCGCTCTTCCTTATTCACCATTATGTACATAATGATTTTTATTTAGTGCTTCAAACTTAACATAGCTCGATCGATTAGATCGAGGACCTGGTCCAAAATGTCTGAATAGCCGCTTTGTTACGTACTATAAAATAGCGGCTTTCTAATATAAATTAAATGTAAAAATTTCTACTAGTTTCAATTCACGGTTGGGTCTTTTCAATAATTTTCCCAATCCTTCCTCTCCCGGGATCCCTAATCCCAAAATTTTCGAAACCCTTATCTCCAAGAGGCTAGCAACAAACTCAAACTCCTCTGATTTTGCGGGTGTCCATGGGTGGCGCCGATTGCTTTCACGTAGCCTACAATGAGTCCTTTGACCGACGTATACCTTTCAATAAATATACATATATAAGCTCTTTAAATATTCAAGGCAGCGTGTACCTATACATAGTAAGTATACATAGGTAGTGAAGCTGGGTAAAGACCCATGTAAACATTGCAGCGAGAGAGCTTCGCCGTGCGGTTGAGTCGGACCAAATGTTTGTTATAGCTACAACTCTGTTTGTTTCTTGTCCCGTATATATTTATGTTACGTTCAAATGGCTCTCAAATTCTCTAATACGAAAAGCGTAATGGAGTATGGAATAAAACATTTTTCGTCCCAAACAAAATCTTTTGAAACGCCAAAAATCACTGCTTTTATTTTCCTTTTTGAGTTGAAAGATTTTAATTCAAATAGTAAAGTGCAAACGTTGCCGCGGTGCCTCATTGTGCTTGCCTCGCAACCTCGGCTGAAGACACTAATACCCTAGGACACAGACTCCGATAAAATCTGCATCTCGTTCGTGCAATTTTGTATAAAGAAATACGGAAAACAAATAAATCTGACCATCTACCTGAGGATGGAGGAACTTCCTTTCATTTAGCAGTTAGACTGGTAATCTCTGGGCAATTAATACCTCCGTAAAAAGAAAAATCAACAGAAAAATAGAACAGAAATATATATTTCCTTACCTTGGTGAAGCTATTGCGTGGTACGGTACATCTCTGCCCCTACCGATGAGTTCATTGGCTCCCTCCACAATACCCCAGGGTGCGATACCTATGCTGACCACTCTACCAGCTCGCTGCGACCGCTCAAGCTGTAGCGCGTCTCCTACTTGTCTGGTCACACCTGTTGGAGAAGTAAGTATTAGGGTTTTTTCTCTATTTTAAGCAATAATTGCAATCATCTATCTATATATGTTATATATAAAAACGGATCTCAAAATGTGTTGGTAAGCGCATAACTCAACAACGCCTGGACCAATTTTTCTAATTCTTTTTTTGTTTTGTTTGTTATTGTCAGGAGAAGGTTCTTATCAAAGAAAATATTAGAAAAGTAGAGGGGAAAATTGGGAAAAAGTGACCCCTTGATAGCGACATAGTTGGACCCGCGCGAAGCGGGGGCGGGCCGCTAGTAGGTATATAAAAATCAATACTACTTTTCGTTGTAATGTTATAACTCAACAATGCCTTTACCGATTTGGTTAATTTTGGTCTTGAATTATTCGTGGAAATTCAGGGAAGGCTTAAAAGGTCAGAAAACTTAAGTTAATTTTGAGGCGGAACGAAGTTTACGAGGTCAGCTAGTTGCCTATAATAGTGAGAAGATATCCACATCTTTCATTTCATAGAAGCAATGCAGGCATGGGCATCTAAACATTTTTTCTATTTGACCTGTCATCAACAGGTTTTGTTGGTCTTATATTCAACCTACCAAATACGTTACACATTCTATACGCGTGTCAATTTTTAGATATATTGTTTTTTTTATTGAAAATGACGACATTCGCACTTCAATTAACTAAGGAAAGCTCTAGGAGTCGAGTCGTAGGAGTCGAGGAATCTACACTTTGGAACGAGCAAATAGCTTCACTAAGAGGACTGACCGACAGACTGACACGATATCTTCAAAATTTTGTTTTGACGTTCAAAAGTGCCTGTAAAGGTCTAATTGGAATAAATGATTTTTGACTTTTGACTTGACTTGAGTTTCAAGTCAGAACGGGATTCTTATTCCCTTAGTCACAGAACGAAACAAAATATAAACCCTGTTTCACGTTTTCAATGTTGGGGGGTAGATATGTTGAAAAATAATGTCTCATACATTTTATTTTAAACAACAGTAATGTTTTTGTACCAGTGCAAACTATAAACTTTTGTTGGAGGATAGTTGAATATAAAGCGACCCTTTAGTATCCTTAAAACCACCGAATATTACTGACTACACCGCGTATTATGCTCAGTACGGCAGCTAGCTCTGCGGAGAAAGTTCTAGAGTATTATGAAGTAGTCTCCATAGTTCGCGCCCAGCAAAGCGTATAAAATGCTTACTGCTACTGAAATTTCATTTAGTTGCTGTACGAACTGGACTTTAAAATAAATCTGTATTGTCGTTACGGTTATGAGTTGTGGACGACTGAAAATTCCTTGGTAAGTAATCCTATCTTTCTCCTTCTAATTCCTTATTGTTTAAATAATTTGACATTCAAAAGTGCCTGTAAGGGTCTAATTGAATTTTAAGTGTGGGAGAGCCATGCTTCGGCACGAATGGATCGGCTCGACCGGAGTGATACCACGGCCTCACAGAGAACCGGCGTGAAACAACCACAGCGTTGTGTTTCGCCGTGTGAGTGAGGTTACCGGAGGCCCAATCCTTCCCCTCCCCTGATCCCTCCCCAATCCCTTAATCTCCAAAACCCTGATCCCTTAGACGTCGGTAACGCACTCGTATGATTTGATTTTTTACGTTTGACCTTTTTGACTTTTTCCTCCTCGTTATCATCAGCCTATAAATGCCGACTGCAATCAACACGCTTGCTCAAGGCTTATTGGCAAATTCAAACTTGATTAGAAGTTTTAAGTCCAGACTTCCTCTCGATGTTTTCTTACACCGTTTGTAAAACAGTGGTATCTAAAGAATCATATAAAGTACCTACATATAACTCGGAAAAAGTCACATTGGTACTTGCCAGGTTTCTAACCCGCAATTTCAAGCATGTGGTTGCCATAACGTCTTGGCTACCGGGACGTTTCTAATTTCTTTCAGCTTCAATTCCTTTTTTTTGTTTGCTCTGTGGAGCTAAACTATAGGCGGGCCCGCTGATGGTAAGCAATCGGTGCCGACCATTGATACCCACAACACGAAAGGAGTTAAAAACTGAGATTACTTAGACACCGCTGACATACGGTGAAGAAAATATTGCATGGAAACCTGGACTTGTAATTTTTTATTATAAGTTTGAAATCGTCAATTCGCTCTGAGCGTGTTGCTCATATGTACAGTCAGGGGTCAAAAATGCAATTGCACTCTACCAATTTTAAAATGACCAAAATATCTTTGTCGAATAGAGTCAATGCTTGAGGAATGCTTTAATTTATAGCATAGAATCTAAATTATTGAATAAACTGGCTGTGAACCATTGAACTTTTACTACAACGAAATTTTAAAATTGATAGAGTGTAATTGCATTTTTGACCCCTGACTGTACTTTTTTTGTCTGAAGAAGTTCTTTGCTCAGAAGTCGGCACGTTGAAATTGGTGATGTGGCGCGTGAGCAAAATAATATTGCTAAATAAAGCTTCGTAAAGAAAAAGCCTATAAGTGCTAATAAAACTGAAAATCTATCAATCATCAACGATAAAATAAAGCCTAGAGGTTAAGGAGCCTACTTCTCATGCATGAGCCATGAAACCTGGCAAGTACCAATGTGACTTTTTCCGAGTTATATGTACTTTCTATGCTCATTTAGACACCACTGACATACGGTGAAGGTAAACATCGTGACGAAACCTGGACTTATAATTTCTAGTTACCTATAAGTTCGAAATAGCCTACCCGCATTGAGCAAGCGTGGTGATTAATGCTCTTACCTTCTCTGTATGAGAAGAGGCCTTTGCTTAGCAGTAGGAACTTATAGGCTGATGATAAAAATGATGAAGATAAATATTATAAAAACATTTTGATTATACCTAATTTACAATTGAAGAATGCCAAAGACTATCTGTTTATTTGTGTGATAGGATGGCAAAGGAATAGACCTGGTGGTAATAAGCAAGTAGCGCCGCCCATGGACAACAGTAACTACGGTGGAGTTACGCTTGCTTTGCCGACCTTTTGGGGATGAGAGTGTTGGATATTTAGGGATTGGGGGAGGAGAAGGATGGTCTGTGATTCCAAATGCCTAAATCTACACTCACATTTATCGTCGTACCATATTTACAATTTTCTCAGGGCTGTGTATTAAAAAAATTTAGATACTCAAATATTATTATTTTGAGTAATTTCTTAACTTTCTTTATTTAACTTATTACTTATTTTAATTACTTGAAAATTTACGTCTTTTGCTCAAATAATTTTAGCTGGAATTCATATTAAAAAGGTAGAGGTTAGTTTTGCTAGTCTTCTGCGTATGACAGATTAATTTACATCAAAAAAGGAAGAAAACGTTCCTATAAGCGTGGGAAGTGACGCCAGAAAAGACATTAATTTAAAGGATTTTTTTCTAACTTAGTGTCTTTTAGGGCTGTTTTTTAAATGGTTACATAAAAGTTATCTGAGGAATAATTATGACGCTGTCGCGTCAGAATGTTTGTATAAGACAGTGACAGCAACAATTTTATTCCTTAGATAATATTTATCTGACTATTGAAAAAACAGCCTTAAACATTATTACTTAAGTTCAACTTTGATTAGAAGTAAAAAATTGTTTGAAATTAGTTCCTTTACTCGGAATTTTAATTCCATTCCAGATTTGACAATTTCAGTGTTGCAACGTTATGACACGTAATAAATAGTGACGTTGCGAAATTATTCGATATGGAAATCGAATATTTCTGAATCGATTCCTCTCGTTTATAAATTTACCCTCGTAAACTAAGTTTATCAGGAAATAAAATATTTCTGAACCGATAATTTAGTTTTGACAATTAATTAACGATCTGAGACTTTTCTTTTGTAATTGTGTGTGAAATTAATAAAAAATGTGATCATGAAGGAACGTGACAAATAAAACAGACATTTTATAAATTGTCACCGTCATCGGTATCGCTATCGCCGTTACTCTATGTAACATTTATTATGAACTGTGTCTTTGATATTTATTGTCAATTAACATATCTAGCTTACTCATTTTTTCCTCTTCTTTGAAAACATGGGATACACATTTGGACCATTCGGTAGCCGTAATTTTTTGAATGCCTTCCTGAAACTGATTCACTGATTGTTTATCGATTTTTGTGTTCATCACTACACTGTTATATGTGGTATCATTATTTCACAAAATGACAGTGGTCAATGTCAAATCAGGAATCGAATTAAAAGTCTGACTATAGTTTCACTCGCCTAATAATACAGTTAAGACTATTAATACTGTAGATAAGGCAATCAAATCAATTTTAAAAAAAGGGATTCCAAAATAACTGATGAAAATTGTAGAATGTTATGTGAGAAAAATAATAATCCGACGAACATTAATGGCGCATTTAGTTTACGATAATATTATTAATAAGTTTGTTCTTTTCCTTTTACGAGGCCACAGGATACCGAACCTTTGGAAGGCGTACGAGGAAGCTAACTCGCAGAACTATGGAAATACTATGGGTCCTGTCCCTGACCAACATTGATACATACGGATAAACAGGCTGGGGGTGATATTATTATTATATGTACTTGCCTGAAAATTTCAACTCTCAAAAAGGGACACACAGTCACAGTCATTCCTGAGGGACGCGCGTGGCCCCATGCTGTTTGAGCAATTAGATCACAAGAACGCGATATCAGTCTCACTTATTCTATCACTATGAACGTTACAAATGTCTAGTCTAGAATTACCTGTGTTGGTGCCTCCAGTGAATATCCAGGCACCAGTGGTTTTCGCAGCCTTGAGCAGTCCTTTTCTAAGCACTTTCTTAAGCTTTGGTTGAAGATCGAAGTTCGCTTTGCCACCCTGGATGGTGATGAGCAATTTCGGTCGGTCGAGGGCCCATTCTCTTGTTAGCAGTTGCACTATTAACTCTGGTCGTGTGTCGTGGGACAATCGGACATACTGCGGAGAGAAAAAAACTGTTGAATTATTTGCTCCAATTGCAGTATAGCTTGGAATATAGAATGCTACGATTGGAAAACGCGTCTCTTGCCAGAGCGCGTAGTAGTTAGTTAGGCTCTGGTTATGATATCTAGTTTGATTATGTTTATCGAGTACCTGTGCTTTGGTTGGATGTGGTCCTCCTTGAAACTCTACAGTTCCATAGGCATCAGTTGGAGCCGACTGTGTATGTCGAGCCGGTACCCACGCCTCCCCAGGATTAGCAGTCTGGGTGTTCGAGCCGTGCGCTGTCTTGCTAAGCCCGCACCAACACCTATGAATAAAAGAAAAACAAATTCAATATTAACCACCACATTAAAAAAAATATTTTCTGCGAACTATTAATTAATATTTTTCTGTGTTGTGAGTGTCTTTAAAAATATAAAATGTCTCATACACATTACAGTTCGACTCGGAATAACAATTTACGGATAACGACACATTGAGTGGCAGCCGCGCAGCTACGGTGTGGTTAAGGTCCTTAGCTAAGTTTGAAATAAGAGGTCGTGCGTTAATATTACTTTCGAAATCAAATGCGTAATTTGCCACCAACTTAAAACTAAAAAGTTTTTCTCCAAATTACATGTCAACAAAACTCTTTTCTATCGTAAAAATAATCCTCAATGTGACATATTAAAGAACAAAATCAAAACAAGTGAGAATATAACTGTGACTTTTTGACAGGTAAACAGTTTTAACATTTTCTATGTGAGAGTTTTATTGTATAAAGTGCAAAATTATCAGTTACCTTAGGAAGAAATTGGCAATGGAAGATGATGAAAATACGAAGGAGGAGAACCAACCTTCCACAAGTAAGAAAGAGACTCGGACGAATTCCGCAAATGACCTGTACAACGATGATAGACAACAGGACGACCGTGCATCGAATAGTGAAACGTCCGTGTCGGCAACTTATTCGGCCAGGAGTCGAATAGAGATGGCGAACACCCGCCCAGAACCACCGAAGCCTGTCGCTAAAAGAGAAGCGAAGGCACCGGAGAGGAAAAAGAGAGCGAGAAGACAGGGCAGAGTTGAAAAAAGAAGACGATCCTACACACGACGCCAAGTTAGAAGAGCTACTATACGGAGGAGAGCGCGGATGCCGATCGAGAAAAAAGAGCGGAATTTGTCAGTTTCTACGATATTCACCAGACTATCTTCCCGCAGCGGGTCCAGAACTCCAGGATGCATACATTGTGGGCACCGCTGTTGCCGTCGAAGGTAGACAATTTGTGTTTTGAAATGTAAAATGGATTTTTGATTTTATTTATAATAAACCAGTTTTCTTTTCCTTTATTGTTTGATTTAATCTTTCAAGTTAGAACAAGGTGTTTGTCATCAGATATTTAAAGAAAAAGGCGATGCGAAAGAGATGTAAAAGATTAGCCAAAAAGTTTGCTAAAAGGAAGGTTTTAAATACAAAAAGGAAGGTTGAAAAGGCAAAGAAGTCGAGGAAGACTCCGAAGCTAAAGTTACTCGCTCGCCACTTGAAGTGCGAGGGTGAAGATTTTTAGAAGTTTTTAAGTTTATCGCAGAATTACCTCGTTGATAGTGTGATGGTTAATTCTTGCATGTTTTTAACGTAACAACGAGGGCAGGTTTTCCGAAATAACGTCCTTGGTTCTGCTGTAATAGGGTCTATTTTCACAAACAAGTATAATTTCAAATTCCAATATGACAATTATACAGTTACACGTATTACACTCGACCAAGTTAGTTCAGTTAGTGTTACGAGAAACCAAAATTTGTTTGCGATTCCTATTTCTTAACGTCTATAAACACCAGATGTCTTTGACTGCCTGCCAAAACATTGCATTGGATCTTATTTGTACTAGACTGAGTAAGTAGATTAACAACACTGTTGATGAGCCTTTGTTCCCAATGTTTAGACTCTGGTGCCAAAGGGTAATGAACGGCTGTAAGTGGAGCCTTTCCAAACTCCTTCGTGAGTTGCTCTCATGTTATGGCTGAGAAAATCCATTGTAATTGTGCACTAAACTATTCAATAGGGCGTTAGTAATGAGACATTGTATGTTTTCTGTGTATTCGGCCGGGGTTATGAGTACAAGCGCGATTATGTACCACAGGCCCGGCCTAGCAGCAGATGGAACGAGGTGGCTTTTGACCAGTCTGACCCTCTCGCACCGCAAAAATTTGGATTTTGTATATACGTTTAGTTTGCATGACCATAAATGCTAAGCTGTATCGCTCTACTATACATCCATACAATATGTCTTAAAATAATTTATTACCAGGTCTTATTGACCCACCTGATAAGATGTTTTTTAAAAAGTTTTTTAACATAATACAACATCATACTCAAATAGTATGATGTAAAACTGCCTTTCAATAATGTTATGAGTTCTATGTATTTTATGGGAATAATAGACTCCGTGATATTAGAAAGAATGAAAGAAAAATGGAGATAATAAAAAAAATGTGCATTTTTTTCGAAAAATTACAATTCTGTATTAATCCTCACCAATTATTTTGGGCCAGAAACACTTCACACACACAGACTTTGATTATTGAGAACACGGTTCCTGTGCTCTCAGGTGACTGACGTAGCCAATTTGTTGGTACAGCTACTGCGTCGAAACATTCAAAGGAAGTTCAGTACGGGTCTCGGAGTAACATGCTGTCTCCTTTGTTCATCAAAACCAACTCCGCTTTAGCCGACTCCACTAGTCCATCGTTACCAGTGTACTGTGAGGTAAGCTAACGATCGACGGTTAATAGAAACTCTTACTTATAAAAAAAACTTGTAGTATAAATGTTTTAAGGAAATTTTGCGAACAGTGTAGCTGATACATTGTTCGTGATTGGAATTTCGTCGCAGTGCTCGACAATAGTATCCAAGGATGATGGAGATGGATATAAATTAACTGTCTCCATATCCACGAGGCAAATAGTCCTACATAGCACAATGAATGGAATTCCTTACCTTAAGGTAAGGAAGGCTATGCTGTATGTCGTGGTGGCCTGTTGGTTAAGGCCCACTTTTCATGAGGCTTCAAAGCCTGCCAAGTTCCAATGTAACTTTTCTCGAGTTATACATATACACTTTCTACGATTATGAAGATATGAGTCACATATGGCAACGGAAAATATCGTGAGGAAACCTAATTTTTTTATTTATAAGTTTGAAGTTCACTTTGCGAAAAAGCGTTGTGTTTAATGATCAATGTTTCGTCGTATGAGAAGAGGCCTTTGCTCAGCAGTGGGCATTTATTGACTGGTGATGATAAATGCTATAATCATAGAAAACAATCGCATCTTGGGAGCAAACCGCTCAGTTGTAGACGCACTACCAATGATGATGGTGGATATTGTTGTCAATCTTCGACTTTATATCAGTTATTTAATCATTTTTCTCATTACAGCTTTCTGTTACCAGGTGACACCAGATATGATCGTCGAAGGTCTGAGAGCTCTCATTACGTGGAAGCAAAATGTTCAAGACATTATGCTGATGAACTTCATCAAGGTACTTTTTCGTTGCCACAAGTTGTTAAATATGTAGATAAAAATACTGTACCGTTTATGGCTTAAAGTTCAAGGACATATTTTAGTGGTTAGAAAGACTTATAAAGGCTTCGATCGTTACAAAAGTTAACGATAGTCCAATATTCCATTGTTCAGCCGCAACGTTCAGGCGTGAAATAACGCTTGCATTCTGTAGGTAAAGTCGCAAGAAGTTCTACTTCTCCCATAACATATCCCAAAATTCCCCAATCTTCAAAATTTTGACTCCTAAAAGGCCGGGAACGCATTTGGAACTAACTTCTTGATGTTGCGTATGTCCACAAGTGATGCCGGCTGTTATCCATCAGGTGATCCGTGATATTGTATGCGAATCTATCTTATAAAGAAAGTTAGATGTATACAAACTTAATATTATAAATTCGAATGTAACTCTGTCCGTCTGTCTTTCTTTTCTTCACGCTTACCTAAAATACTGAACCGATTTCTGTGAAATTTGGAACAGGCATAGTTTGGAACTCGAGAAAGGAGGCCGGAAGTCACTTTTCCACGCGAACGGAGTCGGGGGCAAAAGCTAGTTTATAATAATACTAACTTTTGCCCGCGACTTCGTTCGCGTTCGTTAATACTAGTTTGGATCAGTAGTGCTGTCGTTTGACGTTTGCGAAAAGTGACTACACTTAAAGTGTAAAAAAATTTCATAATTTCTGGACTTAAAACGAGCGGGTTATTATGAGAATTTCCCTTGAGAACTATCAAATAAAGCATAGTACATCAACATTAAGAGTAAACTCCCTTATAGCTGCACTTGTACACTAATTGACAAAGAACTTAAGAGCCAACAAATGAAACGGAACACTTAAACGAGAAACAAAATCACAAAGCAAAGAGCACTTTGTAAAACAGAGGCAAAGGTTGAAAATCCTTTGGTGATGTCTGGAGTATCAATTAGACTAAAGAGTGTTCGTGCTAGATATCTTTGGGATAGATATTTGAGCTTGAATGTGGTGGCTTTGATCGGGTGTGATCAGGCGATCACGTTCAAAAGGTTTTTTAATCTCGATTTTTTTATTGCTTCACTAAATTGTTCGTAGGCGCTTTCACTGAAGTACCTCTCTTTATGAGATACGTCGGCAAACAAGCCAATGAATTACCTGATGGTAAGCAATCTGCGCCACCCATGAATACCCACTAAACCAAAGGAATTACAAGTGCGTCGCTGGCTTTTGGGGTTTATGGTTTGGGAGATTTAGGGATTGGGCTTCCAGTGACATCAACCACACGGCGAAATACGACGCTGTATTTGTTTCACGCCGATTTTCGGCGAGGTCGAGCCGATCCATTCGTCCTTAAAAGGTCGGCGCACTTTTAACTCTTTTGGGGTTACGGGTGTCAATTGGTGGCGCTGGTTGCTTACCATCAGGCAATCCGTCTGCTCGTTTGCCAACCTATTACCGCGACCTCGGCACAGAGCAGGAGAAGGAACAGGGGGGTTTTTAGTCAGTAAGAGTCTGACACTCCCTCCTGCCCGGCCCTGGGCGGGAGAAGTCATTTGATGATTTTCCCCTCACAAAAAAAAAAAAAAAAAAACCATAAAAACATTTTTCAGTTTGTCATTTATCAGTGCTACGACTATTGCAACGTTCACGTTCCGATTGCTCTTCTAAGTCTTTGGTATAAAATGCTTTATTGCAAAAAGTCTGTCATTGGATAGGTAGTTTCGGTCGTTCAAACTTAAGAACATTAAAGAAGAGAGAAATTGTTATGAAGATGAAGATTCTTATATCAGTTCTGAAGCTCAGTTGCTCTAGACCGAGCGTTCCAAAAGTTCTTCCCAAAATATCATCATATCAAGATACCCTACATGTCTTAGATATCTTTCAGAAAGTTTGAACATTACTAGTTTGTGATAAAGTCGAAAATGGATTACAGTTTTTGGGGTAGGTTGATGTGCTGCTGTCTACATTAAGAAACAAACAAACTCGTAAAAGCTGAAATATGCGCTAGAACTTGAGATGGCTAGAGATCTAAATGTTTTTCCTTAGGTAATATTCGTAGTTTTGTACCTAGATATTTATTCTTGTTCTTGATGTTCCCAATTGTACTGTTTGGACTACCACATAAGGTTGAATTTGGATTAATTATTTGTCAAGAGTAAATAAGGCTTTACCTAGATCAAGAAAATCTATTGTTATTTCTTTGCAAATGTTTTGTTAATTACCTGTATAACTTTTGTTTGTCTACCAACTGTTTAACAAAGAGTTTTAAATCCTATTCTCGAATCTATAGCTAGTCTATATAAATATTATAAAGAGGTATCATTTGTTATTTTGTATGTCGGGGGTAATCTTTAGAATCACTGGTCGGATTTCCAACAATCTCAATGTTCCTGAGTGCTAGAGGCTTTTATAAATTATACTCGAATTGAGTATTTAGGTTGAGCTTTAAATGGTACCGTTTTTAAATCCCGGGATATATTATTTACTTTTATAGGCATGCGAAGTCGAGGGCGGAAGCTAGTTTTTATAGAGAAGCTAGTTTTTAGAGTTAGTATGAAGAATAATCAAAAAATATATAATTTGATGATAAATAAAAGTAATCCTCAAATTGAAATAACAAAATTTAGACAGACATATTGATTTTGTTTAATGCTTTGATATAACTAATCGGCTTACAAATCAAAATGAGTTCCTAACATTCAAGATTTGCAATTGAAATTGAAAACAAATATTCCCATATACATTTGAATGATTGGATATCCGAGTAATGTAACTGGATGCTAATTAATATTGGAGCGGTATCGAAGTTTTGGCGTTTCCTAACTGACGGCAATACTGTTAGGATTAATGAGATCCCCAGGGATTCGTTTAAGAGAGTTTGACATGAACTATAGTTAGCTTAGTTATTGTGAAGGCTTTTTATTTTTTTATTTCACATCACCAGCCTGTAATATAGTTAAAAGACTTGGATCTTGGATACTTGACTTTTATTACACAGTACACAGTCGGGCAGCTCACTGCACCAGAGTTACATTGTCAATGGCCGACACTCGCTCGGCCACCCTCTTTCTTTATAGACTGATTAGTATTACTAATTACAAATAATACAACACAGCCTACAAGTGCCTACTTTTGAGCAAAGGCTTCTTCTCACACGGAATAGATTTGAGCACCTCTTTCACCGTATTACTATGTCAGTGGTGTCTAAATAATCATGAAAAGTACATATTATAACTCTAAAAAAGTCACATTAGTACTTGCCCGGTTTCGGACCCTTCCCCTTATGCATGAAAAACGAGTGCCTTAACCTCCGGGGCATCACAACATTTATTTCTAGTTTATTGCACACGTTATACAAATATGCAAAGATGAAGAACCTATGTTTTCAATATAAAATAAGTGATTTAATACTGAAAACAAATTGGGTTACAATTCGACCTATCTAAAAAAATCTAAATCGTAAAACCAGAAACATATTGAGCAATCACACGCACGGTTTTAATATTGAAATCGAATAAGAAAATTGCAAATATTCTCCTAGATAACATTTTACCTACAAAACGTGTTTGTTTCGAGAATTTTTAATACACCTACTTCAGTTCCGAACAATGCGATCGGCCAGAATAAAATTCTATGCAGAATCGCTCTACATCGCAAATCTCCGTTCAATCTGAAACGTTTTGCGATATGCTGTTCGATATTGGAATGTGGGATTGGAACTTTTGATATCATCGAGCAACCGGTATGAAGGAACTGAATTTTATATGCAGAGAGCATTGTAATGGTTTATTCACCATGACTACAGCTGATATGTTACTCTATTATAAAAAAAATGGTTGTCTGTAAAGTCGGTTTACGGACGGTAGCTTGACGTCAAATATTACAGCAGCCACGCTCTCGCTTGCGGAACGCCACCATGAGCGTAACGGGACAATGACGTCATTGTTTTTCGTGCCTGCAACCCGTGGTATCGAGTTGTTGGGCAACCGGTTGCCGTGCAATGTTCCACACGGTTCAATTCCTGCATGGAACAAATCTTTGTGTGATCGACAAATTGTCTTTCCGAGTTTGGGTGTGATGTGTAGGTATGTGAATTGTGTGTTTGTAAACGCATCCATGTCACAGGAAATAATGTAGTGTGTGACTCACGCTGTTTTGAATACAAAGAAATATTGCAATTAAAACAAGAAAGGGAATCCTTACACGTTTCAAATTTTTTTAAGTTTCTATTTGGAACCTACAGAATTGGTTTTCATTCGAAATTTGAAATCCATTCACTCTGTTACAGAACTAAATTAAAAAAATCTATGTTTTTTAGCATTTAATTTCTACCAAAAACAAGGTCGATTGTAAAATTTTGGATTCTTCATCCAATATTACTTGATTAAGAGAAATAAGGAAGGAAGTTAATTCTCTGTATTCCAAGAAATCTTTATCAGTTGTTTTAGTATTCTACAAGCTTTAAGTGTGGGATGCCTATCAATTTTACTATAGAAAATGCCTTAAACTTTATTAAGATAAATCAATAATTGTACTCTTGATCTAAACGAAAAAATCTTATAAAACTCATAACACTTAAGTAAACCAGAGAACGGAATCGGACCTCAATAGTAATAATGTATGTTTCAGAGACGTTACCCAGTGAACTCGAATGATCAAGAGCTGCTGAATGAGATACAAGAGAAATTGAGAATTGCTGCTATTGTTGGTAAGGTTCTTTTTGCATCGTTGATTGAGCGGTCAGGAACGTGATAGACTAGTTCCAATGATAATTTCACTTTTTTATGATCACGTATGATGGTACTTAGATACTTCTAGTACATATGATGTTAAGCATTCGCCGCCACCCAAGGGCATTCGCAACATCATAGAAATTGCAAATCGAAGACTTGTGTGATTTGGCGATTGAGTATAGTATAGGGGTGAAAAATGGGCCCCCGATTACAATCACGACTTTTTTTTTTTTTTTTTTTAATAATTTATTCAGTAAAGTTACAGAAAAGTGTCCTTATCATCTAAACTCGCCAAACTTTAACGTTTGATGGCGAGAGGCGCTCTTTATACAATAACATATTTATACATAATAGTGAATTTAGTACCTAGGTGCAATTACTTGGGGTTTTTTTTTCATTAAAATATCCCTATTTTATGCATACTATGTACTTATAGCTAGGTATGACACAGTTTATATAATAATAATTATTGACTAACATAACAAACAAACAAAACATAAAAACACACACAAACATAACATTCCTACTTCTTATTAATAATCTAATATAAAGCTTTTTAATTTTGACTTAAGAGATCCTTTGGGTAACTTTTTCCCTTCTTCTCTTAGCATCTCTATTTTATTAAATATATCAGGAACTAAGTATGCGGATGTTCTCTTGCCATAATAATTTTTTATCTCTGGTAATATTAGTTTTTTTTCTCTAACCCTGTTTTTGTAAGATGAAGATTCGTGCGGAAGCATGGCTCTCGTAGGTTAAACTCTAAATTTATAGTTAAATAGGATAAATATAATCTGAATGTGTATTTGCGAAAGTAATATTGTTTACGTTTGATCGATACATTAATATAATAGCCCATGCGAAAGCATGTGAAATAAATTTAATTGAGTAAAGGACATGGTCAACTTTTATATGGGCGTTTGCATAGTTATTGAATTCAATGTACATCAATGATTTTTGGTGTTTACATTCGTGAATATTATTAAATTAAATTGCTATAAATAAAACACATGAAGAACTCGTAATTATAACAAACAAGACGAAAATAGTTTCACTAAACCTTTAGTCAGATTACTGGCCATAAGTGCACGAAAAAAGATTTTGCTTTTAAAAACCATGGCGTTTTAATTATTTATTTATTTATTTATAAAATAAAACAAAATAATATGTATAAAGAATAATGATTTATTTATTAAGGAGAACAAATAAAATAAAACTACGTAATAATTCACTTTTATATTTTTATTATAAAGTGTATTTTATTATGTTTGTGTATGGAATGTACGTTTCTGTAATATATATTCTGTATAATTGGGTAATAATATGGTAGTACTTTTCATTTGAAGCGGCCTGCTCAAAACAGGTGGTAAAGGTGGTGGCTCTGGTGGGCTAACCACTTGAATATAAGGAGCTGCTGCGTTGTTGTCCGAACCCAATTCCTGCAAGTTTCATAATAAGTCCTGCACTGTCTGTCTATTTGCCCGCATACAGCACACATGACAAACATAGTTGCTTCTTGAGGTCTGAAAATAAACCCCAGTTAGAATAAACACATGTTTTCAAGTTTTTTGTTATTGTACAGTGAGAAGTATTATGTTACAACATGCCTACTTTAAAGAAGTCTATGCAAACATGGAAAATACATAAAGATAGATATTATAATCACACATACCTACTATGAGTACTTTTTTTATAGATTAATATAGATAAATACAAGTACATATATAAAACAATGAATAAAAAACAAAATGCTTACCACATTAATAGTATTTTGTGATATTAGGCCAGCTAGCAATGGAGAGTCCATACTGACATTATGGTGTCTTATTTTTCGAACCGATTTTCCACAACCAAGGCAAGCCATGTTATGCCCCAGTAGTCTCTCATGTTCACCAGCCTCAGTATTTAATAATAAGAAGCGTGGTTGACAAATGAATGTCCCCAGAGGCAACTAAAAAAAAGATGCACTATTTAAAATCGCATACCATTATAAAACATAAAAAACAGACTAAGTATTATACTATTCCGACTTCATACCTGGGTTTGAGCTATGGTTAACCAACGTAAAAGTTTTGTTTGATGGGGTGCAGAAAGCGAGGATATAAGACTCCTCTGCAGCCTTTGTACGCCTATTCCGCATTTGATGCACCTCATTGTAATCCACAAAACAAATCCAAAACGCAAAACAGTTACTCCTTACTACTTGTTACTACTTAACAAAAACACGCTGTCAAAAGTGTCAAACACGTTCCGTTTCGTTTTAGTTTTTTTTTTGGTGAATTGGTTAAAAATAAAACATAATATTATTATAATATGAATATATTTTAAAATGCAACTAAAACAAATGAATACAGTTTCGTATGAATAAAATGTTCCTAGTGTAATGCATTTGTCGATCATATCACACGTTTTCTACGAGTGTAGTTTAAGACACGTGGTTTGGAATTGGAACGTCTTTTTATTTATCTTTCTCTATGGACTATTATGGCGAAACTTGACAAACGATAAGTTGATTTTGTTGTATTACTTTTACATTTTTTAATAATAATTGTCAAGTCTGGAGAGGCTAAAAACTACGTAATAATTCATATTTCTATTTGTATTTTACAGTGTATTAATTTTGTTCGTGTACGTGGAATGTACTTTTTTGGCCATGTCCTTTAGGTACATAAATAAGCACCCAATAAGCTAATTTATGTACCTATGTCCTTCAATTTTATTTTGTTAAAACTGGCATTTTTGGTTGTACTATCAGTGTCTTATGTGCATGGAGGATTCCAAATCAAAATCGTTTGTACGGCGTTTCATCGCCTTAATAATATACAATGGATGACATAGATGGCGCTAGTATAGTAGTGGTATTGAAAAATATACATTTATAGTTTTTATCAGATACAAAGTTATTAACTTAATATTTTTTTACACAAATTAATGCAACGATATTCCAAACCTTTTTTAAAGCAGAGCACGCAATAACCAGGATTCGAACTCGGTAGCATAAAATTTACCGATACCACTAGCCATTAGGCCATTGCGTAACCTTGAAATTAATTGAAATTATCGTACTATTTATTATATTGAAGTTGTTTAGCAACTATAACCCGATCATAAATCTCAAAACAGTTGAGGGTAATTTAATATTAAATGTATAAAAATTAAACCTTTTTGTTCAATCATAACATTCTTTACTATCTTTGAGTGAGTTCAGTTACGATTTGTTTAACAAGTTTTTAATATTTATTTTTATTATGAGTTTGTTCAAATATTGATATGGCTACGAGGGCCCAAATAATAGCATTGCATAATCAAAGCTTAAATTATACTGAAATTTCGAGAGAAACTGGCTTAAGCGAACGTAAGTATTCTTTTAAAATGACCGTTCGTTATATATTTTATTATCCATGGTTATCGATACACGAAAATAATAAATAATACACTTCCCTTACAGGTAAAGACTGCCACGTTATGGATATCTAAAGCTGTTTTAAGAAGAGGGTTCATTGGAGCACCGTAGTGGATCTGGCAGAAGACGTGATATTGACTCCTCAGAATACAGAACAATTCTGTATTCTGAGATTGACTCAGACCAGCTTCAACTTATGGAGCAAGGTTATGAGGAAAATTACTGGAGCATTGTCATCTTCAGTGGTGCAAACAGTGAAAACTACATAGATGTGCTGAAAGACGTCATGAAGATGTGCTAGTGATAACGTTCGTGCAGGACAATTGTCCTATGTGTAATGTGCAAGTGTTTAGTCAGCAATCAGACATGCGGATTATTCCTTGGCCAGCGAGATAGGAGAAGTAGGATCGCGATAGGCGGCTACACTAGTTCTTAGAAGAAAAGATATTGTTGACTATAGCAATATATATTACAAGACCGGGGTAGCTTTAATTTATTTAATGGATAAATGTTCAAACTTAGTGTTAGTAGGATAAATTTATTGACTACTTTATAACCAGCAACTGTTATTTACAGTAATGATTTTAATGTTTTACTAAATATGAGAAATAAAAATAAAAGCAATATTAATATATTGATTGCAAAATAATAAATAATTTATTTATTATTACTATAAACAATTCGTCCCATTATATATCCCGGTCTTACGAATGTTATTGATTTAAGGTCTAGCTTCAATTTCTTCCTTGTTCTGGAACGAATACTTAAGCTTTGGGCCTTTGTCATAACATGATGCACAAAATGAATCACTTTAGTCAATACTTTAATTAAATCTAAATTTTAAATTTAATGGGGAGGTAAAATAGTTGCAGAAGTAAGGTTGCATATTATATAGAATCGTATTATAACACTGTGTTTAAAACTAACTAATAAATGACTAGCACAACACAATTTTGATTTAAAATAAAAAGTGTATTAAATAATGTGTCAGTTAGCTGAAAAGTTATTAGGTCACGGTATACACTATATAAGAAAGAAATAAATATTATGTTTTAAGAAATAAATGTCTGAAATTATAATGTCACTAAAATAGTTTTATTTGTTATCCTTTATGAGAATTAAACTTAGTATTAGTCTTAATCTGTAAGAAAATATGTTACTTTTACATTAATAGTTAGCACATATTATAAAAGTTATTTATATATATTTATTAATATAATTTTATTCTAAAATAATATATATATATGTTTATTTTTGTTATCTTTTATAAATATTAAACGTCAAATATTTTATTTATATATTATTATTATTGATTTTATATAAAAAAACGTTTTTTAAAAAACCTGAATATAAAAATGATATCCCGGACTTGAACCGGTGTCCTTCGTCTTCATTATTCAATCATTCTTATTTATCCGAGCTACCGATCGCATTTTTTATGATGTCGAAAATGCGGGTTAGTTTATAACTTTTATTATTGTCTATTATTAATTATTGACGCCATCTTTTAATTGGTTTGCTTGACTTGACTTAGATGGCGCTATATTAAGTCCTCGGAAATGAGAAAATTAACATAATTTATGTGTATTTGAATATAAATATATTATTGTTTCTTAATTATTGTTTAAACTATTAAAAACCTTACTGTGTGCCTCTGCAGTGTAAAGTATTCAAGCTTTGCAGGGTTATTTTCATTTCAAAAGCAGCGCCATCTAGTTATCAATGGTAGCGTTATGCAAAACCTGTCAGTCAATAGTCGACCTTAAGCTCTCCATGCATTTTTGTCACCCTTAGTACCTACAATATATATACATATAAGAAAACAAACTTCGTTCGCACGTGTTTTGGGCGCGTTTACAAACACGATGAAGCTTCAGCACGAATGGGTCGACTCGACCGGAGTGATACCACGGCCGCACAGAAAACCGGCGTGAAACAACCAACAGCGTTGTGTTTCGCCGTGTGAGTGAGGTTACCGGAGGCCCAATCCCTCCCCTTCCCCTATCCCTTCCCAATCCTTATATTCGCAACCCCCATCCGCAAAAGGCCGGCAACGCACTCGTAACTCCTTTGGTTTTGCGGGTGTCCATGGGCGGCGCCGATTCCTTACCATCAGGTAATCCGTCTGCTCGTTTGCCGACTTATACCATATATAAAAAAAAAACATACAATTTCACATACACAAATTGTGAATTATACAAAGAATTCTTCTAAACAATGATCGAAATCTAGACACGTTGTTGCTGCAGGCCTCTAGGCCTATTGTCCAGCTATAGCCCCCACTGCCCAATCAGTCCAGCCAGGTTTTTTATTACTATTTTTACTACTAATTTATCGCTTTCTTCAGTTTCTCCAATATTTTTTCCCTAATTATTGTATATATCTTTGCTGTCGGTTTACACCAAGGGTCGGCTCTCAGCCCTTACCTCTTCCTGACGTCGGACATTCAGGAATAGGCTCCCTGGTGTATGCTGTTTGCCAATGATATTGTGCGGGTTGCCGAGAGTGCCCTAGAGGTCCAGAGCAGATTGGAGGTGTGGTGGCAAAGACTGGAGAGTGTTGGCCTAAAATTGAGCAGAACTAAAACAGAGTACTTGTTCTGCGATTTTGGCGGTCTCTCTAGTTCTGTGCCCATAGCTCTCGCCGGAACGCCAATACCAACCTGTTCTGATTTTCGGTACCTTGGCTCGCTTATCCAAGGAAATGGTGAGATAGACCGAGACGTGGCACATCGGATCAACTCAGGATGGATGAAATGGCGACAGGTCACTGGAACAACTTGCGACCCACGGATGCCCCTCAGGTTGAAGGGTAAAATATACAAGTCAGTGATAAGGCATGTCTTACTGTATGGGTCAGAATGTTGGGCTCTGAAAAAGACGGATGAAAAGCGATTGCATGTAGCAGAGATGGATGTGTGGTGTGACGAGAATGGATAAAGTGAGAAATGAGTATATTAGAGGAAGTTTGAAAGCGGCGCCAGTGACTGAAAAGTTGAAAGGGAACCGTTTGTCTTGGTATGGCCATGTGGAAAGGAGGGATGAAAAGCATGTAACAAAAAAAGTCATGAGTATAAATGTGGATGGATGGAGAGGGAGGGGGAGACCAAAGAAAATATGGATGGATTGTGTGAGAAGTGATATGGAAGACAGAGGAGCTAGCGATAGCGTGACGAGTGACAGGACAGAATGGAAGAAAAAAACACATTGCGCCGACCCCAAATAAAACGGGACAAGGGCAGGAAGATTGTATATATCTTTGCGCGCCATGTTTGGTGCCAAATAAGTTATTAATCTTTTTTTCTTTATATCTATGACGTTGTTTCAAAGTGGTTAGATTCCAACTCTCAGGGGATGAGTTTCCGCAACTTTCCAGATTACGAGGCTCCATGATAACCGCTAAGGAAAAATATTTCACCCCCCAAATCCCACACCTGTTGATATCCGGATTTTTCCGGTTTCCGGTTAATTTATCTTTGTAAATACCGTATCGTTGCTACGTGATTGTCAAACTTAAGCCTCAATAAAGCCATTTCGGATAAACTGGTGTTATCTTAACAACATTGGTTGTATTATGACAGATTAATGTATGGAATATGCATAATAATGTACTTAAGAGGAGGAAGATCATCATTCTTTCATTCATAACAATCAATATCGTCAATATAAAAGGAGTACTTTCTTACATTTTGTCGGAAGCGAAAAAGTTAGTAATAAGCGTATCGAATTAATGCTTGATGGCATTTGAGTCGGTGAGTGAGAATTAGTAATTATTTTGTATATTCCATGTTTTACGGAGTTGAAAAAATTTGTTAATTGATTAGTTGAATAATAATATATCAAATTGGTTCTCTATCATTACCATTTTTATATTACAAACAAAAAGCTTGTGGTATCTGACACGTTAAGTCTAATAAAAAAATCCAATGTACAGAACAGCTTTACCAAAAACCTTTCGACGCAAAATCATCCGAAGCTTCCTAAAAATAGATTTGAAATTAGTTTATCGATATTTGCTGAAATTTCGACTGAAAAATAAACAAGATGGCGAGGTGGGAACCCACATGATTGCATTCGGTCAAACGTTGGATACCGCGCTAACGCAAAACGGATTTTTCGTGTTAGATAGCTCTCTGTAATCTTTTTTTTAAGTTTTTTTACAGTCACTAGTAGTTTGTTAATTTATTTTCAATAATAAAAATATGACTTAATTGTTATGTTTGATGAGGAATTCGACTAGAAAACAAGGTTAGTTATGATGTGGTTATGATCACGGAATAGAAAATACAGGTTATGATAGTGTTTTTTGAGTTGGGAAAATGATCAAATGACTTCATTCGCCCAGGGGTTTTTTTTGTGAGGGGAATATCTTTCACTGACACTCCCTCCCGCCCTACCCTGGGTTGAGGGAGTGTCAGACTCCTATTGACTTAAACGCCCCCGTTCCTTATCCTGCTCTGGGCCGAGGTCGCGGTACCGCATTGCGCTTACCCCGCATCCCCGCGCTTACAGTGGCCGGAGATCGTCTCTCGTCCCGACGCTCGGAGTGATGCCTGCTGCGGCGGCTGGGGCGTGAGGAGGAGGATTGCTCCCTCATGCAATCTGCCTTCCTCTTTGCATTCGCCCAGGGTAAAACGAGTGGAAGTGCCGTTCCTTTTTCTGCTCCAGGCCGAGGCCACGGTACCTTATTGACATTGCCCTGTAACCCTGGTTGGACAACGGCCTTGCTGGGCCCCATCTGAGACAGTCTATTGGCTTTGAGGCGCGCGCGGAACGTTACGCGCCTTACGCTCGGTCGGTGGTACTGTACAAGTTTCAGCAAGCTGGTCATGACTATGAGTCCTTAGCATGACTTGAAACTAGTCGTGTCTTACATGTCTCATGAGCGTCATATTAAAATATACTCATGATCTAGGTATTGTGATTCAGTCTGGAGAAGACAGCTGGCGTCTCAGCTGTGAGCTGCTGCAGCGCAGGCTGACATCTAACCACGTGACTCTGTTCTGGAAAGCTTTCGCAGACACCCTGGACCCTTTACCCAGGAAACAAGAGGTGAGTTTTAGTATATGAGATATCGTATAGAGCCTACTGCTGAACAAAGGCTTCTTCTCGTATGCAGGGTATTTGAGCATTGACCACGCTTGGATAAGGCACAAAGCAATTTTTAACTTATTATTAGAAATTTTAAGTACGAGTTTCCACAGGATGTTTTATATTGTTTTTTTTATGAGACATGCATTGGCTGACGAGCATACAGATTTCCTGATGTTAAGCTATGCAGGCCCCAAGAAATCACGTTGCCTGGTTTGGAATCCTCACTCGGACACCAAACCTGGCAACACTCGCCCCAACCTCGGATACAAATATCATTCAAACATTCAATCTTAAGCCTAATCATAATAGCCAAGAGGTGGCTGCGTACACAGCTGTTGATGATTAACCCGTTAGGATAACTTCAGTTTATTTTCACAGCGTTAAGATATATAAAAAGAGACCAGCCGTGACTTAAAATTACAAAAATAAATATATGATGTAATTGTTACAGCCTTCTAAAGAGAAGACCATTGAAAAGTAAGGCACAAATTAAACCAGATTGTAAAGTGAAGCGAAGTTCGAAATTTGTAACTAGCAAGATACAAAGTTACAAGGGCTAAAATACAGCAATGAAATAAAAAATAAAAATAAAAAAACATTTTATTTTGTGACCTTTATTCTACAACCTGTATATTAAAGTTCCAATCTGTAAAAGTTTAATAGAAATTCGTCTTTATTAGAAAACTGTAAGGTCCAAATTTTCCTAATATTTAATATCCAAGCTTCATCGTCAACATAATTTAGTGTTTGATACATTATATTAAACAAAGGCGAGTTTCGCAATATATTTTGTTCTATACAAATAATGTCACTTTATAATTAAAAACGGAATTGATATGGGTACATTTCCCAAATGTAATTTCACTAATAGGGTATGGAAATATCAACAATATACTTTCTTCACAATATCTGGCTGACAGTAATTTGAATTAGCGCTGAATTTCATCTACCCATATCAAAAATATTGTTAATCTCTGGAGACAAGGGTGTCGAACGTAGAATCGAATAATATAGGTACTGCCAAATGTGAATTAAAATTGAATATTCAGGTATAATGTCATCATATTTTTAACCGACTTTAAAAACTGAAGGTTCTAAATTAGACCGCATTTACGCGTTGACGGCCTTACTGATAGTGAATTTTTTTTTTAAATTTGATTAAAGTTTACATGCCGACTGGTAAAATATGGCTCAGCTCGCAATGTACCTACCTAACTCAGAACCACATGTATTGTATAATCCATATTTGCAAATAATCTATCTCTATCTCTATCTCTATCTCTATCTCTATCTCTATCTCTATCTCTATCTCTATCTCTATCTCTATCTCTATCTCTATCTCTATCTCTATCTCTATCTCTATCTCTATCTCTATCTCTATCTCTATCTTTTTATCTTTATCTTATCTTTATCTTACCACTACGTTTGAACTATCAGTCATTGACCTCACTATATCAAGTAATTTGGAATTTTCAACCGTTAACCCCAAATTTTTCCCTTGCAGCCTAACCAAACTCTGATCTACTTCGATAATACCTGGATTTGCATGTTTATACCATTATATATTCCAAAAAAAATGCTATTTTAATTTACGGGTCCTATTTTTCCTGACCTGGCTGTTTGCAGTAAATAAAGTCTAAATACGAGAGGTTATGTTGTCATTTGGTGGCAGTTATACTCCAGCATCCGAGTTACAGCACTTTTATACCTTCTAGTAATAAAAATGAATAATTTTCTTGTAACTGATGCTTTTATTGGAGAGATGTGACCATGTGTTTAATTTGGAGTAATGGAGACAGTTAGAAGGAGGACTTAAGATTGAAGACATAGTCAAATTTTCAAGCTAGGCTCCCAAGTTCAAGCAATGTATTAATCCACTAGCTACTTCCAGCGACTTCGTTCGAGTGAAATAGTGATTTCTGGTATTTTTTTGGTTTTACCCACATAGTTCCCGATCTCGTAGGGAACGGGAATAGGGAAGTTCTCCTCCTGGGATAACAACTATCCTATGTCCTTTCCCGAGTTTCAAACTACGTTTGAACACATTTTTAGCCAAATCGGTTCAGTAGTTTAGGTGTGAAGCAGAGATAGACCGATAAACAGAGTTGATTGAAATAAAATAAACACAGAATTTCGATAAAAACTTACAGCGACACATTGAAACAACTCAAAAACCGATAAATTATTGATATTTAGCGCGCTACAAAGCATTTTATAAGTTTCTGGATATCTATCAAGGGTTACACGTGTTATTGTGAGTCAACCATAAAAGATAGACATAAGTTGTATAATATTTTGTAGATAATTTTATTTTTAATATTCCCGTGATACATGATTTTCATGTAACTTTAACCATTAAGGATGCACATGCGGCGGAAGCTTAAAAAATTGAGTAATTTCTCCCGTTTTCCCAACATTACCCTTCCCTGCTTTGCTCCTATTAATTGTAGCGTGATGAAAAGTATACAACGCGAAATACAACGCTGTGGTTTTTTCGCGCCGGTATTCTGTGAGGCCGTGGTATCATTCCGGTCGAGCCTACCCATTCGTGCCGAAGCATGGTTCTCCCACACTTGCCCCAATGTCATTCTATTTATCCGAACTCAGCATTCTCATTATAGCAATAGAGAGAATTTGAAGTTACGAGAGTCACAAAATAACATTTATTTTGTAAAAGGTTTGTGTATTAAAAGTAAATACAGGGTTGATTTACAGCCACCCCAGATAAAGAAGTTCGTAAGTATTCGGATATCCTCGTCAAAGTTCGTTGATGGCACGTCGTAAAGACGACAGGCTATTCCAGAAGTTATCGTGATGAGATTATGAGCCTTCATGCGATGTCTTGCCAAGAATTGGGCCTACTTACGAAGATGTTGTTTTGTTTATTGATGGTTTAAGAAACTTTACCCTATGTTATTTGAAAGGGTATTTATTGTGATTTTTGGTATTGGGTAGTTGTTATATAACTACAACTCTGTTAAAGTTGTAGTTATATAAGATACTTGATTATGATTAATGTATTTCGGGATTTAAAAAAAAAACAGTAACGTTGAAGGCGATACCTACTAAAATACGCAAATCAAGTATAATTTATAGCCTGTAGAACTCAGAGACATTGTAGCTATCTATCAGTGAAAGAATCTTGGAAATCCGACCAGCGGTTTTAACGATTACTTTTTACAAACTTACAAAATTTACCTCTTTATAATATTACTATAGATTTATGCATGTACTACTTTATCGTGCAGATAATAAAATCGACAGTTATGAGCGATTTAATGATAATTCTATGACTTTGCTGCTCATGAATAAGACTTCCATTGGGACTTAAAACTAGTAGACCTTTTTTCAGTTTATTCGCGTAAGTCGTTATTTAAAAAAAAATGCAATGGTCAAATTCAAAGTCAAAATCAGAATCATTTATTCAAACTAAACCATAAATAGATGCTTTTGAAACGTCAAAATAGAATTAAATAGTAGTCAGTATGTTCGTCAATGATGCTGGTCGTTCCAAATTGTAGATTCGAAAATTAATTAATTGTAAAAAAACAAAATAGATTAATGAACTGCTCACAAATTTAAATTCACAAACATTACACAGTTAAAGCCAAAGCATCGTTGTTAACTAACAGTACTTATAAAAACCCAAAACTGTCGAAAATGATTTAATTTAAAAATTGGCAGTTCAAATTTTACTGGAACGATATTGGGCATAACTCCGTTAATTTAAACGGCTAACTCGCTTAGTTTAGCTCTGAACTAGTTAGGAGTTTGGAAATTATAGTCTTGTTAAATTCTGAATTCCTGTTGCGGTTTGGTTGTGAGAGACGGAATGGCGTTAATACTATGGTCTGTAATAAATGCCGTATTCAGAGAGTAATTGGTTACTTTTTTGGATAAGTCTGCAAAAGAGGAAACGTATTACTTGATGGTAAGCAATCTGCTTCGGCCATAGGCTCTTGTAACTCGAGGAGTTTGCACGTATAGAGAGTTAGAAATTTGAGCTTTGTGGGATTTGAAATAAGCGAGGGAAGAACAATATTGGCGGTCTATTAACCTCATTGACAAAGCCAAATACAACGCAAACGCAAGCGCTTCGAGCTGAAGCATGGCTTTCCAGATCTTAAAAAATAATTGTACTTCCACATGAAGAATTAAAAGGAAAACTATTAATTGTTCAACAAATATCCTCAAACCAGCTACTCACACACGGTTCCACCAGCTGGTCGGCTCCTATAAGTCATAGCGTGATGTTTTATAGCTTATACCCTCCCTCGATAGAAGGACTATCTAACATATAAAGAATTGTTCAATTTGAACCAGTAATTCCGGAGATTAGCGCATTCAAAAAAACAAACAAACTCTTCATCTTTGTATTCACTTTGAAGTCACTGCAGGGGTGCCAATTGAAAATCAGTGAGCCCAGTTTTTTGCTGAGTTGGCAACCCATTCGGATTAGGCATGTCTGCCAACCCTGTAGAACTATATATTTAGCATATTTTTGCTTTTCTGTCTTTTTAACCTTTTTATTGCTTTTTTGTGTTGTATTTTTGTTTTGCTCTAGCTTTCATGTGTGATGCCGATTAAATTTATGCATTTTCTTTCTTCTTTCTTTCTGTAAGTATTATTACAGAAAGAAAGAAACTGTTGACAAATAATTGTCAACAGTTATTTACGAGGATATGATTACAAAAACTCAACACAAATGTTTCTCATGGAGTATCACAGGGATAATCCTATCGTTATTTTTCTCTATAAATCTAAACCGGTAACTATTTGATACCACATATTAGTGCTGTATTAACAACACATTAACTAGGTACTCGTTTTAATTATTCAAGCCCCAAATTGTTATAGCAACGATAGATTATTCGTACATACGGAATCATGTTTGAGCGTTTAATTAACTAATTAGTGGGAGTACAATGTTTTGTTTCAATTTGATATAGAATTTATATTATAAAATTGTTTTCTATTTATATTTTAGGTACCGATACTTTTTTGTTTTTTTTATAGAATAAGTTGGCAAACGAGCGGACGGATTATCTGATGGTAAGCAATCGGCGCCGCCCATGGACACCTGAAACACCAAAGCAGTTATGAGTGCGTTGTCGGCCTTTTAGGGATAAGAGTTCTGAATATTTTTGGATTGGGAAGGGATTAGGAAGGGGAGGGATTGAGCTGACGGTAACTTCAATCACATAGCAAAACACAAAGCTGTGGTTGTTTCACGCCGGTATTCTGTGAGGCCGTGGTATCACTCCGGTCGAGCCGACCCATTTGTGCCGAAGCTTGGCTTTCTTACAATTAATAAATTGCGGTAACGAGTTCAAGTTATTATACATATAGGTACGTAAAAAATCTCCTTTATACGTAGGACATAGACTCTCTAGGGTCGATCCTGGGAAAAGTCCACTGCGGAGCTCGGAGCAGGAGATGGGATGGTTTTTACCTCTAAGAGTCTGACACGCTCTCTCGCAACCCAAGGTGGTTTAAGCAACGATTTTCATAATCAAAAAAACAGAGGAAGGATTGGCCGCAGAAGGCGTTGTGCAAAGAGGTGTGGAAAAAGGGTACAGAGGCCTTTGCCCTGCAGTGGGATGACAACGGCTAGTAATGAGAAAATAAAAGGAAAATTTTCTCCCCTTCTTACCTCTTTTATCTAAGCAGATATTGTATTTCTTTACCTTGTATAAATATATTACACGCCCTTCGACTCTGACACAAGCATCATGTCGAAACAAGTAGAATGTATTTCATTTCGCATTCGGCAGCCATGTTCGCGCTTCATCAGTATTTCATATCTGAGTCGCCAGGTGGCGCGCATTGCAACACATGTGCTTATTTATTATTCTCTCTGTAAAACAATGTTAGAGCGCGCATTATTTACTTTTACTTTAAGTTTGCTTTACTTTGAAAAGTGGGTGTTACATTAAATATGTGCAAAATAGGCCTATACATATCAAAAATAAATTCATTGTGTTCAATTCAATTCGACTGCACGGTTGGTGCGGTGGCTGGGCAACTGGCTGCCGTGCAACGTGTCGCGGGTTCGATTCCCGCACGGAATAACACTTTATGTGATCCACAAATTGTTGTTTCGAGTCTGGGTGTCATGCGTATGTGACATTTTATGTTTGTTAACGCACCCACAACACTGGAGAAAATCCTAAAGTGGGGCAACGTTTTTTAAGAAGAAGAAGAATTGTTTCAAAATCTCTGAGCTATGACGACGGTCAAGTTTCAGTATGATTTCCTCCGTACATAAAATAAAAATAAAAATATCCTGTCATTTAGATAGTTGCCAGTCAACAATTTTACGATTTTCGCGAAACTTTCTGTCTCGCACAGCAGAACTGTGAAATGATCCGCTACAACTTCCTATCCTATCTATATATATGAAACCCTTATCCCCAAAAGGCTAGCCACGCACTCGTAACTATTTTGGTGTTGCATGTGCCCACCATGGACTGCGCTGAGTGCTTACCATTAGGTAAGCCGTTGGATCGTTCTCCGACCTATTTCATAAAAAAAAAACAAAAAAAATCTTTCTTCATTCAGTATTTAATTAAACAGATCTTTTAGCTTGTTTGTGACGAAACGGTCTACAGTCCGTCACGAAGTTTGTTAGAAATTAATGTAAGAAATTAAGTGTATTTGTTCTTGAGTTGTTTGAAACAGAAATTAATATTCATTGAAGATTGATCGAGCTTCTTGGATGTTTATTAAAGTTTCAATGAGAACATAAACACAGAACATTTTGCTTTTCTTTCAATACTGGTCCTAAATACTTACATATGTTTATTTTTATTTTGCTAGATGTTATTTTAGAGACTAAAAGGTTTTGTTAGCATTTTTTCGTACCTTTTAGTTTAATAAACTTCTATTAAATAGTGAAGGAATTTATAGTATTACCATTGCTGCCGTGTGACGCTGGGCCGGGTCGCTAGCGTATAATAAATTTCAACCGCAATTTAGACGTCAGACTGTCAGTATATGTGCTAACTATTGAGATACGTCTTATCACACGAATATTAACTCAAAGGCGAATGGGCGATTTCAAATTTACAATTATAAATGACACTGTGTAATTATGATGTGTTCCATCGCCTTTCGCTAACGGTTTCTAAATAAACTTGAAAGTAAAAATATAACTCGGTAACGTCACTTTAATATTTCCCAGGTTTCGAAATCAGCGCGGGTCTGCGGACGGCGAGAAAGAGTAGCTCGCCGCCCGACCAGAACTAGACCCGAGCGTACAGCGCGTAGCGTTCCGCGCGCGCCTCATAGAGCCAATAGACCACCACAGACGGGGCCCCATAGGGCTGATGTTCAGCTGGGGTAAGCGCAAAGAGGCACCACGACCTCGGCCTACAGCAGGAGAAGGAACTAGGGGGTTTTTAGTCAGTAAGAGTCTGACACTCCCTCCCGCCTGTCCCGGGCGGGAGAAGTCACTTGATGATTTTCCCCTCACAAAAAAAGCTCAAGCCTTGATTAGAAGAGAAAAAATCAATAAAAGCTACGATCATTTTATTTCTTTTCTACAATATCGGGAACAAGGCCTTTCTCCTGCATTTCTATATCCTTCAAACAAAGGGAAATTTAATTTGAGCGTTAATGTATTTTAAACGACTTTCCGTTCGGGGCATAATGGGCATGAATTGGCTCTATACATAACAGGGGTGCTGACAGAGTAATACTCGTTTAACCTCAAAATTTACACCATTGTTACAGTAATATAAACATTTCTATCAATAATGTTATCAAAAATATGGTATAAAGAAGTCAAGAACTAAAAAAATTAGTAAACTGTATTTGAATTGGTCTCTGTCACTATAGGCTTCCAAATTACTCCAAAGTCCAAAGCAAAGTCGCTTTCTCTGGCCCTATGTATGCTTAAATCTTCAAAATTTCGCAACGAGTATTGATGCGGTCATTTAACAGAGAGTGTTTGAAGAGAAAGTTTTATATGTATAATAACATCCAGTAAATAGTGGAGGAAATTTGTATCAATATTGCACCCGTGCGAAGCCGGGACGGCTCGCTAGTTTTTCACAAAAGATTGAACTAATATAAAATCCAATTCAAAAAGGCCTTCCCAGGGGATATGGAATTTTCCTAGCCTATAATCGTATCGCGTCTATTTTCCTGTCCACTCAACTAAATAAAACTCCCGCCAATTTTTTCACTGACATTCGACGTTTGTGACAGTTAAAACATTCGATCAAACTTTTTTTCGTGACAAACGATACTTGTATAGTCTGCCACTGGTTCATTAGATTGTGTCACTAGGTTATACAAAAAGGTTTTTATCCTTTTATAAAAATATAACTCACACATGCTCGTCCTTAGCGCTGGGCACGAAGTATTTACACTCTCGTTTCTGAAACGTGCTCTCGATCCAACTGCGAGTAGTTTTCTGAAACAAACAAACATACGCGTGAATTGAGTGGTTTGAGTAAATAAACACCTGGATTTGTGAACCAATTGTTCAATGGGGTTTGTTTTGATTTTTTGGCGTCATGTTTGGACTGCTAAAATGCGAAGCTAGAATTGCGCTATTTGTGATAGATACTAGAGGTGATGACATTCAATTGAAATATGATCCAAAAGATAATTTTTTAATTATAGTAACAAAAATTATAATTACATCATGTCGCCTTGATTATTCGTAAGAACTGAGAGAAAAATTCAAGGTCAAACATCCAAGCTCAACAGTCGCATTTGCCAACATCACACTAACGAGCCACCTTTTACCTTATCTCCCCATCTCATAACATGGGAAGGGGCGCTATAAAAAGGAGTAATCAAAATTTCCGGACAGCTGAACTTAATACTCGCCCACATTCCTCCAGAGGAAGTTTCGTGAAACTATAATGGGCATCTACTATGGATGTTGAGGCGAAAATTGTTTTACTGGCTTTTCGCCGCCATTTTGTCCGGGAAAACTTATCTCGCGAGACGGCCGAGCGTAATAAGAGCTTTAAGTTAACTGCACTAAGTATATTTTGGGCGAAGGAATTCGTGAAATATTTTTTAGGTAATAATATTAAGACTGCTTCGTGGGCAAATTGGTCCCAAATGCGAGTGCCGAGTAAGATATTTACGGGAAAAACATAACTGGTACCCAAATTGTATTCGATGTACAAAAAAGCTCACTCTAACTGCTGACATTATGTGAACGGGTATGAGTTTTTGCTCTCAAAATAAAAAGGCGTAAACTTTTGAGCATTTCAAATACTTTGGAAATAAATAATCAAGCTAGAAGGGACATGTTGATATCCGATCACACAATATCACCTGCTCAATAATTTAAAACAAAATGTATCCGATATTTATTTGTAACCTTCTTCTCCAGTGGAATGAACCTCTAAACTTTTTTCTGCGATAACGAATCTCAATTCATGGTAATGAGACACATAATCTGCTATTATCAGTGTTTAAGGAAAACTTTTGGAATTGGGTAATTTTAGAGGACGATTACTTTCATAATGACTTTTCTTTCGCATCGCCGACCATATTGATCATTGGTTTGTCTTGTTAATCGACATAAGCTTAAATATGGAATCCTTGGTACTGGCTATACAATACTACTGACTATGCAAGAACACGAACGACGAATCAAGTGAGTAGATTTTTTTTTCAATGAGTGGGTTTGATATAGTTATGTAGTTTTACAATAAAAAGCGTTAATGCTATTTTGTTCACATAACAAGCATGTGTGACACAAAAATATTTCAAGACATTACACAAGGTCGTGATGATGAAAAATATTTTTTCCGAATAGTACTTAATCATGTTATTTGCAGATTAATATCTGCCGAGCAGGACCGTGTTATGAGCCTTCGTGAATGATTGGATGACGATGAATCACGGGACGATCCGACGTGATCGGTAAAACGCGTCCCGTGACAAATGATAGGCCGGGCGCTACCGACCTGCCCTCATCACTCGCGAATTGATCTTATGATTGATGGTTTAATAAGGCAATAACTTAGCATTAATTGAGTATGGAAATACTATGGAATCATGCTGTTTTATGAGAAATAGGTAGATATTGTAGTGTTCCTCCTGTATACATTTTAGATTTTAGATATTGTGTCTGTTTGTTTTTCTTTCTTTTGCGTGTCTTTTTGTCTCTATTGTTGATTAGCCAGCCGGAGAATTATGTATATAGACTTGTGACTCTTTTTTTCTTTGACGATATACGAATACTTAACTATATGGTACCCAATGTATTATTGTAATAGGAAGTTTTCTCCACCTGAAATAAAATCAAATAAAAACCACTATATAAAAGTAAAGATTCTTACGTAAGTAAATAACAATAGTTTTACTCGCAAAGAATTAAAACATAAAATTTCAACAATTTTAGTACAAAACTTTAGTCAAAGGCTTTAAAGAAACTCAAAAATACCACAGAAATTAATTTGCTGGAAATGTTGATGCCACTACGAATGTTTTACTACTTGGCACACTGCCATGTGACTGTTGTACTTTTGATAACTTGGAGAATACCAATTCACTTTAAGCATCGGTCTTACAGTATAGGAAGCAATTTGATCCTTTACAATGTTAGCATGTTCCGAAGGCTGTCGTTTTGTCAATGGCTGATTCAATGCATCTGTTGGAGAAACTAGAAACTTGTGTCGATTGTCGTTTTTTTTCTGTTATTTCTCTGTGAATGTTATTGCTTTCATGTAGCAAGTTCAGGTAGCTATTAAATTGTTTAGTATGATGTTTAAAAACAAATTATTCTTTTTTTGAGGTGGGACACATTGACAAAATTTCTTATCTAGCCCTGGGTGGGACGAGAGGTGCATACCTCTGCTGGATAAAAAAACATTGCGTCCCATCTCCTGTTTTAGGCTTAAGCCCTGGTACATTACTCGTATTGCGCTTGACCCGCAACCTCGGCTATTAGGACTTAAGAAGTAATACACCCTTGCAAGGTATCATGCACATCGAAACCCAGCAAGTACCAAATTGCTTTTTCCGAGTTTCATGTACCCATTTTCTATGATTGTTTGGACACCACTGACATACGGTAAAGGAAAACATTGTAAGGACACCACTGGACTTATAATTTCTAAGTATAAGTTTGAAATAAAAAATACGCCTTAAACAAGTGTGGTGATTAATGCCTAAACCTTCTCCGTGCAAGGAGAGCCTTTTGCTTACCAGTGAGCACTTTCAGGCTGATGATGTGTTGAGAGGTATTTACAGTCCATAAAACAGTACGCATTGTATACATAATATAGTAACAGCAATTTTTAATTTTGCTTATCACACTTTCATTACTCACAGCTCCATACATAACGCATTCAAGAGAATTCCTTTATACACACACAGCGCTCTACGGATCGGTAAAATTAACCTTCCATCTGCCTCACGAGGGATGAAAACGTGAGTGATAAATACCTGTCGAAAGATGTCAGAGCAGCAGAATATAACATTTGGTATGATAGAACCTCTATCCCTTGCGGATACAACCGACATATATTATTGAATATACGTATAAACAGAAATTGGTTTTATGTTGAAACGGAATGAAATGTCTAATTTATTGGCTGGGAATGGGACAGGAGTATTTTACGAGTATTTCTATTTTTTTTTGGGTTATTTCTTTCGTATGTATAAAGGAAAGTTCTTTTTATAAGTTGAATTAAAGTTCAATTTTTGTTTTTATTCCTACAATAGAGCAATAGGTTCTAGAAAATTATAAGTCAAACTTATTTAGGAATGGTTCTAGAAATAGGGTTGATAAAATTTAGAGTCTGATTGTAGATTATTTTATGTCCTAGAATGACGGTTCAGTCACTTTTTGTTGTCAATGAATGTGTCGAGATTCTCGTTCGATACAACTCTTTATGTAAGCCACAAATCGTTGATTTGGGTCTGGGTGTGACGAGTATGTAAAATTGTGTGTTTGTTGACGCATCCACGACAAATAGAGAAAATCTTAGTGCACCGGTTTCGATGAATAAAATGTATGTACCTAGTTTGTTGTGAGACATCACAAAAATTAAAAAATAATGGGTTTGACTAAACTATTGTCTAACTACCTACTCTCGCGCGGTTTCACCTGCTGCTCAGCTCTTTTTTATCGTAGCGTGATGTTTTATGACCTATAGCACTCAGGAATATTGTAGCTATATATCAGTGAAAGAATTTTGGCAATCCGACCAGCGGTTCTAAATATTACCCCCATACAAACTTACAAATTTTTCCTCTTTATAATATTACTATAGATATATAGGTAGATTGATAACATAGATAAGAGAATAACTGAATCTTATATCAAGGCTATGAAATTCATAAGCTCTAATTCCGTCACTCCGATCTCTGAAGACACTTCAAAATATCCAGATTAATTAACATGAATTATTCCCCATAGCATAATTTCCGAATTTGCCGTCGAAATGCTGGCGTGGCGTCGAAATTGGAGAAATAGGGTTGCAACCCGGTTTCCGGGTTACCGATAGAACCCCGTACTCAACATAGGAATATTTCATCAGGTATTATATTGACAAGAAACTGGCCTGGAGCAGGAGGAACAGGGTGGTTTTAGTCACTAAGAGTCAGACAGTGTTTCACGCGCCATTTAGGACGCGAGAGAAGCGATTTTCGTATCTCAACCAAAACCAGTTACTTACCAACCACTTCAACTGTGCAGTTAAGAAGCAGACCTCAATAATTAACTACCAATATTACATTTTTGCCACTTATGATAGCTTTATCTGCGTGAATGCAACCGGGATCACGATTTATTATCCGTCTAGTAGATACCTATACTTCTTTTGTGCCAATTTCCTAATGAGTACCATCAAAGTACTCATAACGACAAAGCTTATTGTTTGCCTCTCACTCAACTGGTATCAATTACGTAGCGTGTAGTGCTCCCGGCCGCTTGTGTCTCGTCGAGTTTAAATTGCCATCTCTTTTTACATTTCCCAGTTGGTCATGTATTGTGTATTCGTAAAGTGGTTTCGTTTTATTGTATTCGTCAGTACCTTGATATAGGAAAATCGGTGTTGTTTTTTTTTGACACTCGAACGGTGAGGATAACAACGGAGGAGTTAGGAGGGCGTTGCCGACGATTGGGTAGGGACTAAGGGAGGGGAAGGATTGGGTTTCCGGTAACCTCACTCACACGGCGAAATACGACGCTGTTGTTGTGTCATGCCGATTTTCTCTGAGGCCGTGGTATCACTCCGGTCGAGCCGACCCGTTCGTTCGTGCCAAAGCATGGCTCTCATGGGTTTTCCCCGTTGTTTTTATAAAATGGTCATTTTTATTATCTTTATTAATTAAGTCCGTGATGGCCTGTGACATCGGCACCTATATCATCCCGTGGATCTTTATATTCCAACTTGATATGATAGGCATTGTTTTTTAAAGTTTGTAATTTTGTTCAGATTTCAACTTTTTAACAACGATCGAAACCCGAGTATGTTTCAAAAGGTAATTTAAATATTTTGTTAGTTCCATTTGGTTAAAAACCTTTTAGTTCAACTCATATTTACATTTTTGATAAAACAAATATCAAAAATATCTAGTCGTACGTTTCTACATATCAAAATTCTGCTCATTTAGTGTTACGTGGAACAACATATTTTAAGTAAAGAAATAAAGGTCCCCAAACACAATCAAATTGACAGCTGCAATATGTCTTCTGTCAGAGCAGTTTAAACGCTTCAACTTTTTACTCAGTTCTTGATCAAAAATTTTCTTAAAACTTTACTTAAATCGAAGTCTATACAGAAACGCCTACTTATACCTTTCAAGTGTTTGACTTGAAAAGTTTGAAACCTTTAGTTAAATTACTTCTTAGTAGATTGAAGATTTGCCAAGTTTTAAGAGAAGTGCCAAGATATCTCATAGCGCTTGAGGGCTTAGAGTTTGTGAACGCTGTTTTAACTGTTCGGTGAAACAAAACTCAAGTTATTTTCCACCATAGGTGTTGTAGGTGGAGGTCTTTAACAAATGGATCAAACATGTGTGTCAGTGTAAACCCCAACTTTTGAATACTCGATTAAAGAATATTTCGGAAATGTTAAATTACGCTACCCGCGTAGAAGGAATGAAAATCAGTCTGCTTGCGACCACGACCTGTGCAACCAGATCGAAACGTCAAGCCTTCCAAGGTATTTCAATATTTACTTTTCGCGTTAATACCCGCGTAATAATACGTTGTAAAGAAAATAAAATTTTAAAAGTTAGTATTTCGAAAATATCTGAAGACGTTACTAAGTTTTTAAATCTTCTTCACTTTTACTAAAGTCTCATTTTCTAACAATTATAAAATCTTGTGCGACGTAAACGTTTTTCATATATTATGTATTTCTCTGTCTATCCATAAAGAAAATAAACAGTATGATATATTACCTTCCACCCGCGTGATATGTTGATAAAAAGTTAAAGCCTATGTGTGAATCCAAGGTGTCACCTATCTGCTTACATAACTTCAACAAATCGTCCAGCAGTTTTTGTCTGAATGAGCAACAAACATAAATCCATACAATATTAACAAACTTTCATATTATTAGTAGGATATAAAACCTACGTTTTCTATCCACCTTTACTAAGCCGGTTATATTATCAAACTGTCAAAATGTCTCCCATACCAATAAACTTGCTAATTATATTGTGTATATTTGCTTAGGTAGGGTCATTTTGGGCCCAAACAGCTCTATAGGCCCCCAAAGGTCGAACTGACCCTCATGTATAATGACAGGTTGAGGTCCGGACCTCGGAAAATATTTTTGCTCTGTTGGACTTTCTTAGAATTTATTAGCATGGAAATTAGAATGGTTAATAAATACGGAAGTTCTTGGGAGTAATTTTTGAAAATT